CAATACATTACTAATTTCATCAAAGAATTTTTCATTTCTAGCTTTTCCACTTGGTTCATTATATAGTTTCCATCTTTTGCTGAAATTCTCTGTTTACCCATGTTGTTCAACATCTGGCCCATCACTGAGTTTCTGTTATGTTTTTTCTTTCCTGACCAGGGGTCATATTTTTGTTTCTTCGTATGTCTCAATTTAGAGTATGGTTATGTAAAAGAATAGTAATTTGCTTCCATAAAAAATAGCTCCTTCTTCAAATTATCTCTGTAAAAGCAGTTCCTTTTTCAACCTTCAGTAGTTGCCAGGGGAATGAAGGTAGAGGACAATGTACTTGAGCTGGGTTGAGAGATGTTGCTATGTTAGTTAGAGTGAACTCATGAATAGCCTAAAATGATTGTAGGATGGAATCAGAATTACCTTCAGGAGAAGTTGGAATCCTGAGCACTGATGAAATCACAGTTTTGGGGGGTTTTGTTTGTTTGTTTTGGTATTGGAGATTAAACTCAAGGCCACTCAACCACTGAGCCACATCCCCAGCCCTATTTTGTATTTTATTTAGAGACAGAGTCTCACTGAGTTGCTTAGTGCCTTGCTTTTGCTGAGGCTGGCTTCAAACTAGCGATCCTCTTGCCTCAGCCTCCTGAGCTGATGGAATTATAGGCATGCGCCGCTGCACCCAGCAAAACCACAGTTTTGAGCTTTACCATATAACTGCTAGCTCTCTGAATTGTGAGAGACCTACAACCCCTTCCTCCCATCTTCCACTCCTCCCTCCAGATTCTTGCTACCAACTGAGGAGTTGTCTTTGCTCCCCAGTAGCACCATCAGTTTTATGTGTCTTGGGGAGATCTCTGCCTCTTATCCTGACTTTGCCTTCTGAAAGCTACTGCCTTGTGCACAATAAAAACCTGAATAGCCATAGAGGAAATTTTATCAGTTCTCTTATTATGCCTTCAGCCTGTGGCAGCCCCAGCCTTATACTTTGTAAAGGTCTCTAGTGCCTCAAAGGGATTTTTAACAATTTTCCAGTCCTGCCTTCATCCTTCAGCAGGCACCATCCTCCTCAGGGGGGTCATTCTATGCTCTTTCTCTGCTCCCTGTCTCCAAACTCCTACACCCATTTACTCACTAAAGGCCCATGGGAAAGAGTTGGCAAGTAAGTACAGCTTTGATCAGTAGCTGACGCTCCTCAGGATTCTTAACTGTCATTCCAGCCCACATGCAATCAATAAGTTTAGCTGATTTTTCTTTAACTGCAAGCCACATTCTTGCCTCAGGACATATGACTTGTGTCCTCTTCCAACTTGTTCTTTTGCCAGGCAGTCCCATGACATATCCTCTGCTGAGTATCACCTTATCAGGCCTCTTTTCCACTCTATATTAAAGACAGTTCCTCCCTCCCCTCACTCCCCTAGTTCCCTTTCTCTCTTACCTAGCTTTATTTTTCTCCAAAGCACTTTCACCACCTTATCAAATTGTTTATTATCTGTCTTCCTGTAATCAGAATGTAAGCTCAATGAGAGCATAGCCTTCTGTTCATCCTCTGCTGGATACCCACTGCCCAGAACTGAAACTAACACACAGTAGCACACAATAAATAGTTATTGGATAAAAATAAAACAAATAGCAGGGGAAAAATCAATGGAAATATAGTTATTGGACAGAACTGGGAAGCTTGGGTTTGAACTTGATTCTGGGTCCACAAAATCTTTCCCAAGTGTCCTCTTCTGCTTACTAGACTTCCCTACTCCACCCCACCTCTCATAGCTACCCTAGAGGAAAATTAACATATAGATTCATCTGGCTTTTCATGATCTATTAATAAGATCTCATCTTATTAATGTTCTCATATTTAACTATACCATGTGATAGCAGAGACCAAAATGTTTGTAAATCCTGAATTAAGAAAATCACTTTAGGGGCTTGGGAATATAGCTTAGTGGTAGAGGATCACCTCACGTGCATGGGGTCCTGGGTTGCATCCCCAGCACAGAAAGAAATAAAATATCACTTTAATGTGAAAAACCACAATTAAATCTTTTATTGTGAAGTCTTCCCTCAACACCTCTGACTAGTCCTTACTACAAATATAGAAAGGAAAATGCTGAAATAGGAGAAAAGTCTAAGTAGAAGGAATTAAAATGTGTTATATATTTCTAAAAACAGACATGCCTTAACAAGTATTAAACAATAGCAAAACCTTAATGGTAACAAGGAATAGATATATTCCAATATATATTTTGTTCCAAGTGAATTAAAATGTAAGCAACAACTTGACTCCTGTTTGTAACAATTACAGAAGATAAAACTAAAATCTAAAAATTGTTAGGAAAAATCTCAGAAAATATTATTACTTATTTATAATGGGCACAATGTTGGAGATTGGGCCCATGGCCTCTTGCATGCTAGGCAGTACTTCAAATTTTAAGCACTGTTTCATTCCCCACATCTGAAAGGTTTCATGTAAAACACTGTTTTATAATTCACCAAAAATAAATGCCAGTTCCTAAACATGAACTGAAATTGACAGGAGAAACTCTAAGTGTTGTTACAGCCGTGAGCATGAATGCTGATCTAATCATATGTTTTCACTAATTTCTTTTCACTTCAACTTTGTAAGAGAGGAATGAAAAAGGTTAGGCATGCCTACTCTGTTCTACAACATCTAGCCCAATGCCAAAAAACCAAAATACAAATCATTCACAACTGCTCAACCTTAAAGTCTAAATAAAGAAAAATAACTTTCTTTTTTTGGTACCAGGGATTAAACCCACAGGCGCTTAACCACTGAGCAACATCCCCAGCCCTTTTTGTTTTTCATTTTGAGACAAGGTCTTGCTAGGTTGCTGAGGTTGGCTTTGAACTTGTGATCCTCCTGCCTCAGCCTCTCGAAATGGTGGGATTATAGGCATGTGCCACTGCACCTGCTAAGAAAACTAACTTCTTAAACATATATGGCATATTAGAAAACATATGATGCATTATACATTACAGAACAATCCAATAATCACATAAGCAGATTCTAAAACAAACCACTTGATTTTGAAACCTGGCTCAATTATCAGCTGAGTGATCTTGGCAAGTTACTTTAACTCTGTCTCAGTTTCCTCATCTCTAAAATGGAGAAATGGCATCTTCTTCCCAGGGCTGCTACAGTAACTTAAAAAATGTCTCACACAAAGAATATACACAAATATTGTCATTATTACTGAGGCAGTAGAAACAAATGAAATTTTCACTAATAAGTAGAATTCCAAAATTAATGTGCAAAATAATTTATATCAACTGTTAAAGTGGTACATTTAGATTCAAGCATTTAATGAAGTAAATATACTCTCAGGGATCACATAGGCAGCCTCTTCATCTCTCTCCCTCCAATACTAACCATTTCCCACCACAGAAGCCTCTGCATTTTATCAATTTAATCCCTTCTATGAGTTAGATTCTTCATGCTTAAAAATATACAGAAAGCAAAGCATTTCCAAGTTCAACAAAGCAACCGCTAGTACAAAAGTACTGTAGAACATTTTTATGGTAGAATACCTAAAGCTCTAAAATCCACAATAGTGAGTGAAGTAGACTGTGGGTCATATGGGAGGACTGGAAAAAAAAAGGAAAATAGAAACAGGAGGAATGTGAGACTTCACAAAGCTGGAAAAATTCAATTCCTAGATATTCTTCCTTTCTCCTTGTTTATGACTGCACGAGATTTTCTCACATACCACATAGAAGTAAATTGATACAATATTTTAAATGCTTAGATTTCTATAAAATTCACTTTCTGAAATTCTTGCCAGCTCCATTAATTCAAAAGAAACACAAAATGAAGATGTCATTACTGTTTTTTGTGGGTGATGTTTTTTCCTGCTATCAACAGGCCACACTTGGGAGTTGTTTCTCCAGAGTCAAGGAGAGGTACAGACTATCACTTTCTTTTACTAACACCCCTCTTAGTTATGGAAAAAAATAAAATAAATAAAAAGGTCAGCTAGGGAAGGCCAACTGTGCTTGGGCAGTACCCTGCATCTCAGCTTATCAGCACTTCCACTAACCCTTGCAGATAAAAAGCAAATCTCCACCTAATCACTCATGGTAAAAGAGAAGGGGAAAACTGTTTCTTAAAATTAGGCATTTTTCTATTACCAATCCCCTTAAATATCCTACATCAAGGGCGTGTCCCCAAGAAGGAGGTCTAGTTCCTCTCTTCTTTTACACCACTTGGAGACCTCTGGCACGACCTCTGGCAATTCCCTGAAGCTTAGGCTTTCAAAAGAGCTTACTGGAGACAGGTGGTATGCCCACGATCTCTCAAGTTTATTGAGCAAAGGTAAAGACTTAGGACGTTTACAATGTGCTAATTATGGATTAATTAAATCCCTTAGGGAGGGTGCTGCACTCAGGGGAAAAAAAAAAAGCCTCCAGCTCAAGGTCCCCCCCCCC